CCCCCCCCCCATCACCATCATAACAACCATCTACGCACCAGAAGAAGACACCCTGACCCAGGACCTTAAACGTTAGGACCTGGGGAAGAGGAAAGGGAAAGGAGGACAGAAAAAGGAAGACTTGAGAGAACGCTGCAAAGCAAAGCACCCGAAACTTTCCACCCTGGATTCTCTACTTTTGCTCCATGGACAGAGCCCCAGCCAGCCAAGTTTCAGACAGACCGTGAGCAGTAAGTATGCGGGGCGAGGGCTCCGCGCCGCGCTCGGGGAGTTGGGGACGCGCGGGGCTGGCTAAGTTCCTTCGCAACGGCACCGGGCGATCGGACGGCAAAGCGGGGAAGGGAGATGCGGGTGGAACCCCACTCTCGAAGCCCACGTACTCCCCCGCTCCCCAACTCGGCCGCCGCGGCATCCCTCTTCCCTTTCTCCCCCACCTCCGCGTCTCCAGGACCCGAGGGCAAGGCGGCTTCCCTCCCGCTGCCAAAGTGCGGGCGGAGCTCGCCCTGCGCTGGGCGCGGGGGGCGCGGGCTTTCTGCTTCCCGAAGGTGTCAGTGACAAAGCGAGCGCCGTCTCACCAGGTGTCTCCCCTCCCCTAATCCGCCCCTCGCCCCACAAAGCCGGGGGTGCCGAGGCTCCTGGCGTCGCTAAGGAGCGCGCTGTCCCGCCGAGCCACCCGGAGAAAAACTTTCTGGAGTGGCCGAACCCCGGGGGGGCTGACGAAGGCTGCTCCCGCACCCGCGAATTTCCGCGCGTTTTGCCCTCGGTGTTTTAATACGGATGAGCTTCTTAGAAAAGCGCTCTGGACGAGATGGAGAGAAGAACGCTCCAGAATAATGGGTGCAACCCTACTCTTGCGATGCAAGTTACCCTGGCCAAGAACTCGGAACGCGTGTGGATGGTTGCGGACGGGGGAGTTAGGGTTGGTGCTGTGTGTGTGTGTGTGTGTGTGTGTGTGTGTGTGTACACTTGCTCTGTAAAGGTAAAAACTCGGGGGTCCTTTCACCTGGCCTTCTGGCTCCAGCCTGGCGCATCCGTCAAGTGATTAATCTGGGTGCGGACTCCGGGACGTCCGGGCTCCCCATCCAGGGCGGGGGAAGGGGGAGACATCCCCCCGCTCCACCCCGACCCCCAGACAGCGAGGCTTCTGCAGCCCACCACGGTGTCTGCCAACCCTGCCCCCGTGAACCGGCCGCTCCTGGACGGCTCCGGGCGCCTCGGGGGGCGGCCTCCCGGGGAGCAGCGACGGGGCCCCAGACAGTCGCGGCGTGTCCAGTTCGAGGCTGCCGGGGGGGTGGAGGGCTGGGGCCGGGCCGTCGGGGAGCCGGCTCAGCGCGGGGAGGAAGTTTGCGTGGCTGCGGAGCCCGCGCACGGCGGGCCTGCCACTGGCCTGAATGTCTATCACGTGTGTGAGCGGGTTTCCCTCTTTTTCTCTCCCCCCCACCGCCCCCTCCCTCAGGTCCCAGTGCATTTTATTGCGACCTGCCGGTGGGAACTTTGTCTCCGAGTCGGAGCAGCATGGAGCGGCGGAGCGAGAGCCCGTGTCTGCGGGACAGCCCCGACCGGCGGAGCGGCAGCCCAGACGTCAAGGGGCCTCCCCCGGTGAAGGTGGCCCGACTGGAGCAGAACGGCAGCCCCATGGGAGCCCGCGGGAGGCCCAACGGCGCGGTGGCCAAGGCCGTGGGAGGTAACAGCCCGGAGCAGGGAGGTGCGCGGCCCGCCCGCGGCCCGGAGATAAAGGCCCGGGTGTCAGAGTTCAGGTTGATTAGGCGCTGTGTCGGTGTAGGATTACAGGAAGTCAAGTCCAGGCTGCCAAATAGTGCCCAAGCCTCTCTGCAAACTGGTAGCTTCATCTCAAGTTTAAAACAAGAAAGTGGTTTACCCAGAGGGTGGCATTTTTTGGGCACTTTGCCACTGTGTGCTGAGGTGTTGGCAGGTTTATGTCACAGCCAGCTAACTGTTCCTAGATTTTCCTAGAGAGCTTTTTAGTGATTTAACTCCTTTGCTTTGCCTCAGACTATCTGTTTTAGGGATGACATTTAGGTGTCTTGGCTTTGATGGGACAGTTGTTAATGCTCAGGCTACTACCTGCACAGGATTGTTAAATGTGACTCTGTAGTTGGTTAGGACAGTGCTGCTAGATCAGCGAGTGACACAACTCTAGGATTATGTACTGCTGCGCTTCAAGTGAGAAATAAAGAATATTGGAAAATCGTTCAGGCCACTAGCTGCTCTAATGCTGTTGGTAAAGTTTAGACGCAGGCTCTTGTAACTTTGTTATAAATTACTGAACAAGGGAACATAACAAGGTAGTCTTATTACCTATCTTCTGTTTCTCCTTTCAGGAATTTATATTATTTAAAGACAAGCTTTTGTTGTTGTTTTACTACGCATAAAAAAGTGTCTACTTCAGTAATCTTATAAAACAAAGATAAGAGAGAAATTTAAACATTGAAATACTTTAGGATTTGCATGCCAACTGCCTAGTTGTCTTTGCATGTAAAGTGCACAATTCTACATGGTATGCAGGTGTGTGTGTGTGTGTGTGTGTGTGTGTGTGTGTGTATGTTTTGGGTAAATCACTCCTTAAAATTGTCCACTTCTAAGGGTTTTTTCCTAATATTTTATAATAGTTAATTATAATGTAATTCTTTATTTTGCTTAGCATAAAATAGTACAAAACAGTGGCAAAACTTGGTGATAAACTCCCATTCTCAGATTCTCTGTGTCCATTGGGTGTATTTTGAAGCATATGATTCAGTTGAAATGCCTGTTCTTTCTTAAGTAGTTACAAATACACATTTAATAAATGACTTTTTTGTTTTTTACTTATTTTGTGATTTGCTTCTTCATGGTAGATATTTTGTGTATTAATCATAATTTTGGGAAGTATCATTGTATTGATTCTTAAAGGAATTTTTTTTAACATACTTGGCTACAGAGTGTGGCTTATGTTCTTTCAATTTGGGGATGTGACTACATATTTCAATGAAGCAAAGGAAAACTTAGTTTAGTAACCCACTTTTCAACTAATTTGTTGTCCTGAGACTAAAGCAATAGCCTTGAATTTTTCTTAAAATTGTATTATGATATAATTATGATATGATAAGCTATAACAAATATGGTAGGACCAAACTCTTGGTGATAATGACAAGTGCTGATAATGTTTGGTGGATATTTTTTTTTTTTTTACAAATCCTTGGAGTCAGTGTATTCTAAAAGTGCCTTTATATATAAGAAGATATGAGTTTGCAATGCCAGGTTCCGAAGACCTAATATGATTTCCTGAATAGAACGAGTACTAAACATTTCAGGATGAAATTGTGTTCCCTCCAGACAGGTTTTTTTTCCCCCCTACCTTTGCATATTGTATTGAACTATGAAGAAACTGCCTTTTTCTGTTGGCCAGGGGATATCTTTAGTGTAAAACAGTGATTGCTTTTCGATTTTTTTTGGAACCATAATTCACATTTGACTACTTGCTAGAAATTTGACTCAAACTAAAATTATTGTCTACATGAACAATGGATTTATTTTAATAAGTTCCTTAGTCACTTCTCTGAGGCTTAACTTAATTTAGTAATATCGAAGTTCTTATTATATGCCTTCCAAACTGAAAATAAGATGACATTTTGTTTTAATATGTACCAGTTATAATCCCAGTAAACTAGTTAATATAGTTTCTATGTGGTGGATTTTTTCAAGACTTTTTTTTAAAGAAAGCTTTTATTCTATATAGCATAATAGATTGTTTAGAAAGTAGCTAATTTGAGGAATCTCAAAATGTAACAACTTAGAATATAAAATTTCGATAGTACAAAGCTTTCTTATTGAATGTTAATAATTATTTTGTGGGCTTAGGTTTATATAGTTTCCAAATGTACATTAAGATGTCAATAATTTCATTTCTTTGTAACTTTTAATCATGTATATAGACTGGAGGAAAGCCAAGCCTTTTTTAAAATGCACATTCTAAATTTTAAGAAATGTTTAAAGTATACTTCTTGTTAGAGTACTTTCTAATTGAAAGGTCTTTTTTTTCTTTGAACATAGAGTAAATATAAAGTAGATTATATTTCTACCTCCCTGCAGCCTTATGCTTACATTGTCCTCATAAAGCAATTAATATAATAGGCATAGATAACTACAAAAGTATAGCTCCCCATCAGTTATTGTCATTTTCAGATGTTGCAGTTTTGTTCATGTCAGTTATGATAGTGGACACAATAAGATAAAATTTAAATAATAAAGCTCCAAATTTGGAAGCTCCATAATTTTTTGTTAATCTTTAGTGTTCCTTATTCTGTAAAGCTCTACCCATGCCCCTCATAAGGGAAATCATTAAGTTAATTGGTTGCTCAATAAAATAACAATTTATCTTACAGCTTTGGTTACACAGTGAGATAGATACATGTTTTTGGATGCATAGGTTGGACTAAAAAATTCTATTGTGGTTCTATTTTTTTTTTTTTTTAGAGAGAAGGAGTTTGTTATGATGTTTGATGACAACTAAGTATTCATAAGGAAGGGGATTGTTTTAGTGCCTAAATGTAACTAGTGGAAGTAGTGCACACTCTATCATAGTCTCTAGGGTTATGCTTTAATAGGGAACTTAAAAGTTAGTGCATTGTTTACAATGTAGTGGCTTTAGAAGACTGTTAGACAAGATTCATTTTGTTTTGTCTTTCCAATGCTTTCTAGGATGTTTTTGCTTTTATTTAAGCAGTGTGTTTCAAAGCATGTATGTAGTAAAATACAAATGTTCAGATGTGTATGACAGTCAGGTTTTATAGAAGGTCTTCTGGGGGGAAAAAGAGGCTAATATCTCTTTAAAAAACATATGAAGGTTGGGGGAGAGTTTAGAGCAAGCAAGAGCACTGTGGTGTTGACAGCTTTATGTCCCTGCTGGGTAACATTCACTTACTAGAATTGGCGTCCCCTCTCAGCTAGTAATTCACTCCATAAGGATTTTGAAAAAGGATGATTAATGGTAGGGAAATTTATATTTGTGAAATTGATGATTAAACCTTGTAGATCTATTTGAAGACTCAGAAAAAGAAGAGATTATTAAGGATGACGAAAATAAGAATCAGATGATCTCTTTAACCACTATTAGCATAAGCACCTAAAGTACTGTCTATGCTGCATGGAATACTTGAGCCAGGCAACCTTCAGCCTAAAATGAAAGCGATGCCAAGCAAGTTTCCAGAGGGAAGCCAGGCGCTTTGCCTTCCTCCTAGGCTGCTGGAAGGTACTGGCCAGTGGTGCTTAAGTAGCAATAAATTACTGTGCTCCATTCATTGTTAACATAGGCATTTTCGCTTTTTAATGTTTGGCTTAAAGAAGAACTTTCAGACAGCTTTATTTAAACTGAATGAACAGCGCCTGAATCTACCAGATGGTGTATTTGCTGATAGGAGGCATTAAACATCAGAAATCTTTTTGATATTTTTCACTTTCCTATGAATTTTTATGATTTTTTTTGGGGGGGAGAGGAGTGTTAAATGTTCTAGATTTTATAGGGAAAAATATTTAAACTTTGAGACTCTCTTACAGAGATACCTGCTCTTTTTTGGAAAACATTTGCTTATCTTTGAAAACTAATTGTTAACAAATAACCACTTGATTTATGGAAGTCCAAGTCATCTAATAGCTAGCCCACCAAAATAAACCTGTTCTTGCTACCTGACAGCCCTTTCAAGAGCATAACTATCTTATTGTAAGGGGGGGTGGGATCATTATGTAGTACACACTGATATACTCAAGTAGGGAAGCAAATGTGATCAAGACTTAGGCAGGGCCTCATTTGAAGCTGAACATTGTCTACAACAGCAGTTAGTTTAATTGTCTACATGTGGAACATTTCCTTTTTGCTTATGAGTAAAAGAAAGGTGGTTCAGGTCAGGTGTAGACACTGCATTAGCAGTAACAGATACATTTCACTTTTTGAAAGGAGCACAGATATGAAAGACTATTGATATTTATATATGGAATGTCTATGGTACTTAGAAATTTAGAAATATAACTGTAAAGAAAAGAAAATGAGAGAACACTCTTATTTGTAGGAACCATCTTATTTGTAGGAAGGACTCATATTGCTTCAAAAGAGAAAAACTTTCCTTTCCAATCCTTTTTTTTTTTTTTAATTTAAAGGTTTTAAACCTTTTAAATAGAGTGAACTTAGGCTTTGGGGTCATCCAACAATCCAGCATGTCCTCTGTAGTTTTGCTGAGGTAGAAAAATAGCCCTTCTCTAAAGTGTTTTTAGTCCTTTAGGCCTGTTATTAAAATAAAGATATACTTGGTTAAAAAAATATATGCAATGGAACATACACATTAAACAGAACATAGGGTATCCACCCTCAAAGTCCTGAGCATAATTTGGTGTTTCAAGTAATTTTGGAAGTCTTATGTTCCATCAGCAGAAACCCACTGACCATTATATATTCAAGATCAGCTGTGTGTGTGTGTGTGTCTTTGTGTGTGTGTGTATGTGTAGTATTTTAACTACTGAGATATCTCTTAAGACATCTGCTTTTAACCTCTACAGAAATAAGTAATATCATCATTGTTCTGAGGGTTTAAACCAGTAGAATCTGTACATCTATCCTATATTGATTCTTTTTTCTTAAAAAAAAAATTTAGCCTGTCTATCTTTGTATGGAGGGAAAACAGCCTAATCATCATT